CCATGTCAGTCTTGCATTTTTAGGCTTAGATTCACAGAAACCAGAGAGTCTAACAGCAGTTTCTGTAAATGGTAAAAAGACAGAAAATGTAACAACAGTGACTGCAAAGCCGGGATCAGGAACAGCTCAAACTCCCATTTCTCAAGAAAGTAAAACAGACTGTGAGTACAAATCAGAATTAGGAATAGACAAAAATAAAGTAACAGAAGTACAAGTTAAATGTGAAAAGGAAATCCCAGATGCTGGAAAATATACAGAAGAGAGTGTCCAGACTGGTAAAGAAACTTCACACTGCTCCAGAAACATCTGACCAGATTTCAAAAGATGATAAAAATGCTTTACAAGAGTTGGAACCCAAAGAAGTTCAAAAGAAGGCAGGAAATTAACCACTTCCAGACAGCCCTTCTCTTGAGGCCATTGCTGAAGTAGTAGCTGCTGCAACTACTCGTGCTGCTCTTGATGTGCTTGTAACCACCAACTCAGATAATTATTACACCTCAGGAAGTTCCTGCAAGTCAGCATCTCATCTCTACCAAAGACTGCTGCTACTAAAGTCGTTCCTAGTGTGCTAGGAGAAGAGGCCAGAAAGCCAAGTGAACAAGTGACAAAAGCATCAAGATCTCAAACCGAAAGTGATGCGTCACAGACCACCACAGTATATGTAGCCACTGCCACATAGAAAAAACTCAGGAGTCTGTAGAGGCTGACTTGATGAAGGCACCAGTGCCCCAAGGTGAAATTTCAGCTGAAACTAGTAAAACTGATGCAGCCTCTCCAGTGCCTATTTCTCAGGATGTAGTTGTAACAAAGACAGTAGAAGCTGCTCTTGCTGAGGCAGCAGAAGAAGTATGTGATATAAATACAGACAAAGACACCAAGCATCAGGATACTACTGCCACCCAGGACCACCAAGGAGTCGCCACTGTTAGCCCAGTAAGGAGCAAAATAGCTCATGTGTAGCTAACACATAATATTTACTAAACTTTAGTACAGCTGTGATCAACAATTGTACATTTTGCAGATTGCCATTCTTTTACAGCCAGTGCAACACTTGTCTCAAGCTGGCTTGTTAGTTTCAAGTTTAGCTTAAAGACTCCTGGTACTAATGTGAATGAATAACAATGTTTGGCCATAATAGCCTTGGCTTTTTTTCTGTTTGCTAGATTGATATATGAGTTGATTGGCCTTTTGTGAGGATTTATATGTTTGCTGAAAGAGAAGTACTTACCTATCAGTACATGTCTCATGTAGTATTATTTTTTATTCTTAATTTTGTCTTTTATTGGTAAGTATTTCTAATTTCTCTCTTGACTTTTTTATCAGTTCTTAGTGATGTTATTTTTGCCTATTTTAGTAGATTTAGGATGTGAAGTAGTTGTTGGTGTAATTGCATTTTTTCACAGAACAAAGTGGAATATATTAACTATTATTTATATCATTAAAATTCTATAAAATGTTTTTATGCCAAATATGTAGACAAACATGGTTGTTGGAGAAATGTTTGTATCTTGATATTTGCCTTATCCTTTAGATGTTTGAAAATGAGATGTTGCAGTTATTATTCAAGAGGATTAGTGTTCCTTAATGGCCATCCATCATTACATAAAAGAAGACAATGCTGCCTAATATATGTAGCCTATAAAATCTTCAGGAACAATATAGTTTTTTTATATCAATTCCGAAATGGACATTTAAAATACATTAAAGAAATCAGTGTTAGCATGTAGCAGTGTGATGAATTTTAGTGTATTAAAGAAAATTGTTTTATGCTTCTTTATTTTTATGATTATTATTACCATTAGAAAGTGTCCTTTTTATGAATAATAACTGCATATGTATTTTCATGAATGATCCACTAAATTCTGATCATTATTTACAATTTTTCAAGAATATAAAGTACTTGTACACTTTATAGGCCTCTAAATTTTGACTGTTACAATTTTTGAATCTAAGTATGTGTACACATTATACATTTATCACGAAACTTCATATTGATCAAAACATTAAGATATTAAAGACAGAAATTGATTTACATATTCTCTGTTGTAGGTAAAGGTAATGATTTCACATTTTAATAGTGTAATGAATAGTCTTTTGTTTTGCTCTGACTAATTTTCCATTTTGTTTAAAAGAAAGGAAATTATGTGGAATACTAGGAAATAGTAGATGATGGTATAAGTAATCATTGTCTGCTTCTTATTATTGAATATGGCTATAGTTCATAATACAATACAAAGATTATGGTAATTTACATCAGTGCTTCACATGGTAAAGATACATGAAAAATCAAGCAGCATTATAGATTCATGAGATTATGTTATCATTTGTATAGTAACAAATTGTTTTGTCAAATCTGACAAAACAATTTTGCTAGAAATTCTGTGTTATTATTTTCAGAGTAAAGTATGCTCTTTGAGTATTTTTTCATTTGCAGAAATAACCTTTTTTAAAGACAAAAAGAAGATCAATTACTTCAAATGTCCAGAAACTTGTATAAAAA